ATCGCGAATCCGTAGCTCGACCACCGACTCAGATTCTCGAAGCTCCATACGATCCTGCTATCGGAAGTTCCTCCCTCAAGCCAAGCTATCAATCGCCAAGCACTTCTCGAAACGATTTCCCGTCATATGACGGCACTCATACCACAGCGAATGGTTTCCAGTATTATTTAAGGAGGCAGTATCATGAGGAGGAAAGGGAGCTTGAAGGCAACAATGTCGGCTCTTTCGGTTACATCGATCCATTTGGTATTAGACGGGTGATTTATTATAAGACGGATCCGTTCTCCGGTGGATTCCTCCATAAAAAGAACAATCGATACGTCGGTTTCAACGCGACGCCGTACGATCCACTTCCGCCTGATCTGTCCAAGACGCGGCTCTCGAGAGCCCTCCCGACGAGCGCTTCGTAACAGTTCCGTTATTATTATTCATTGCTTTGCCACGTTGTAGCATCACGTTTTGTCGCAAAGAGTTCATCATCCAATACCGCGTCGACGCTGGGTTTCGCTACGCTGCCTGGACGACCTTGGTTCGATTCGATGATCTCGACAGCGAGACCTGTTCGATTTGTCGAATCGAACTGCCGTCTCTTATCGATGTTCTCTTAAGCAATCTTATTGATCGTGAATTTTCTAGTCAGGATGAAACCAACAGATACTGTTAAAAGGAGAAAGAACAATGATGAATAGAGACGGTCTCGTAAATATTAAAGATCGTCTATATTCTAAGATAGATAAAAATTCTCCGGCAGGGATTCTCGATCACCAACGTTGCTTATGTATAATATATAGATATACGTTTCTCAAAGTGCCACAACTAATATTCTTTTGATGTACGACTCCGTTGTGTCAGTATCGTCAACGATTCCGAATATTATTCGAGATGATGTAACGATACATTATATGAGGAACAAGGGTCGATCGAACCAGGAGACTATCGAAATACAGTAGGCAAAAAAAGGTTCCAACGGAGAAGAGATAAGGATTGTGCGAGAGTAACACAATGACTTTCGTCATCGAGAAGGCGGTGGCTTCCTGATTCATCGTCCTGTCTTTGTTCTGCTATTATCGCGAGCAGATGATCGGATACTGCAAAGAGACAACGTTAGATGCCATGCTGGACTGTAACTCAATTTTCAGGGAAGCGCGGTGGGACTTTCTTGAAAAAAAAATTGTAGAACGCGTCGGACAATTGTTCGCGAACCTTTCCAATTACGTCACCGATCTCTGTGAAACGTGCGAAGACTCGCGACCGCCATTGTCCTCACGCGTAAGCTTCTTTCAACTAGTAGTCTATTTTTTGCAGGGATATTTTTTTATTTTAGAAAATATTTATTTTCATTTGAGATGTAATCAAACTACATATACAGTTCTCTCTTAATAGCAGAATTTTTTTAAAAAGTTTTTCAAATTACTAACTGTTCGAATTACCGAAAGTTTTTGCAATTTTCTGTAGCTTTTCTGTAGGGTAAGACTGCCAAGAAGTACACACTTTCCCCTTATATGCTATATAATTTATACAAGAACTGTGTTTGAGCAGTAAAATGCTACTTAATAGTTTAAACTAAAAGTTTGTCGAGTATCGATTTGATACAAACTCAAACTTTTAATAGGAGATTAATTTTATTGAGAAGGTAAAAATATAGGTAAAAATATATTTTTTTATAGTGTGTACCCTTGTGTAAATGTATTCTCAAGAATACGCACTATTAAAAAATGTCGCTTATTGTATAAGCAATCTTGATTAAAATACAAAAAGTATTAATTTTTGTTTGCGTGTAAATCTTTATAAATTATACCTGAAGCATTTTTTACGTGCAGAATTCACATAAGTAAGTTTTCTAGCGACAATCGATTTGTCTGGGCCTAAAGTCAGCAGCTTTAGCACTAGATCCAGTTTTCACCGGATTTGAAATTCAAATACAAACCGTTACAAAATATGTAAACTGTATCATCGTTATGCTATCGTTATACCTACAATCACATCTATCACTATTTTTCACGGGCTGAATCAATTTAAGTTTTCAAGTGCGTACTTTTATGTCATCACGTCGTTTTTTACTTCTAACATAACTATTTTTAATAAAAACTGTTACGGATATTTTAAGTAAATACGAAGTGTGACATACATATATGCACATAACATAAATGATAGATTCACAAAGCAACGATTTAATGTAAAAATCGATCGATTTTGTGAAAATACAATAAGAAAGTGGTCATAAGTCATAATTACAAAATTTAATATACCTCCTTTATTGCTACAACGATCACAACTATCTTTTGTACACAGAATGATTAACCAAATAGGCACATAGTTCTATGTAAGTTACAGCTGCTACGATCTAATAGTTGCGCCATAAAGCTCAATGCGTATTCCTAAGCGCGGTGCATACTCTTGAGCGGACTTACCCGATGTTTTTCCGCGCTTAGCAAATATTGATCTACGACAAAAAAGAATCCCACCTACCAAATGAAAAAATATAAAACGATCGGTATTTTGGCGTGAGCGAATCGGTCATCAATCCTGCAATATTTTTCTTTTATTAGCGACATTCTACCCAGCAAGGTATCACAACTTTATTGATTACGAAAGAACTGCGTTATATACCGTGAGGTGGCATTGGTGGTGATTTATATCGTTGCCGAATCGCATCTTAAAAATCTAATGCGAGAAACACAGTGATTATGCAAATGTGCATTGTTGTACGTTACATGGTTAATTCAGCGTGAGCCGCAGATCCGGAAATCTTAATAGCTTTCTATTGCTGATTCTGCTGAAACTACGCTAATAGCAGTAGTTTCCTTCCTAGTTTATAATGCGTGTCCGCGGATACTTTTCACGTACTACTAACTTTTCGCGGCATACCGGAAGACTATTCGCTCGTGCCAAATGATGAAAGAGACGGCGTAGAATTAGTTAACCGTTAACTTAAACCTCGTTACATCGCGACAATGGTGCAGATTGTTAAAAACAGATACACCGCGCACTTTCCGTTCTTTTACGACGAGAACGAGAACCGACGATGAGAATCGTGCCGTTACGCTCTTTGCGCCTAATAGTCAATTGCGATTTTCAGATTAAAGCAAAAATTCCCCCGCGAATGACGTTACAATTGTTCGCATATCAAGAAGTCAAGGGATACGATTTTTGCGTAAGGAATATCATTTCATGCTTAACTTATTTTATAAATAAATGTGAAGGCGAACAATCGCTTACGCATAGAATGTCAACCATGTGATATCAGATAGTTTACACGAAAGTAACAAGTAAATAAAACTGTATTTAACGCACCGAAGTTATTGTTTCATTGGGAATATTATGGTAAATACAAAGGCCGAAAATTTATGGCTATTTTAATTATCAGAATTGAATATGGCACAATATGAAAGTTGTACAGCATGATAACTGTAGCATTTGTATTCGTGACATAGTTTTTAATGCTGTCACAACATTCAAAATAACATTAATGAGTTTTATAGGGGTTATCGAATTGAATTGGTTTTATCTATAGGAAAGCATTTTCAAACTTTCTACTGCAACAAACTATAGAGAAATTCTTGATTTGATCAAGCTATCAAATATCCGACTTGGCTCTGATAATATATTTTTATGGCATTTTTTTTTTATTTTTACGGTAATACAACATCTTTTTGAATTTATCTAAAATCAATTTTCAAGAATTTATATTCTTATCTTACAAATCTTATCTACAAGTCTCCTGTAATTATTTCCGAATAATTGTCAATAATTTTAAGTATTTGTTATTTGTAACGTTACTTGGATTGCAAGGAGCAGTATATGTAATATTATCGGTGATTCCGTGTCGTATAATAATGTCGGTGCTATGTGCATCCAGGAGCACCAGCATCCACTTATATCCGATTATCATACCTCATTCAAATTTTCACCGGTCTCGACGCGCTACCTCGTGAAAAGTTTCACCAGCTTCGGAGAGTGCGCTCTCTTTCTTTCTTTCTTTCCTCTCCGAGGACGAAGACTGATGCCCTTATAGATTTGTATGTACACGAAATTAATAATAAAGACGCTTCGCTCCGTTAAGTGCTTATATATGTATATTATTTTTTTTTCTTTTCCTGACCAAGCTCGAATGCAAATCTCTTAGCGTTTGTAGGCCGTAATAATTCCTTATTCCACAGAAGGTTTATCGAATATCTGCGTGCTCATATATATATATATATATATGTGTGTGTGTGTGTGTGTGTGTATATGTATGTATAGATTTATACACGTTGAGAATGCACGACCGCTGATATGTGTAATCGCTGCTGGTAAGATGTCGATGTATGTACTTATCTGTACAATGAATTATATTTGAGTCTTTTCCGCCACGTGATTCCTATTTCCTATTTTTTGTTGCTTACACATGTATATACTTAATAAACATTTCTCAAAATTAGACTTTTTTCTTTCATAAATACACGTTTTTACAATAATTTAGAGGTGAGAAATAATTAAAAAATAAATAAATCGTAAAAAAATAAAATACTGTGCAAAGAATCAACGCAGCTAAAATATTTAAAGAAATGGGTGTTGTGAAAGCAGAAAAGTTTTTCTCTTAAGTATAGGACAAAAAATATGATGAAAGAATTAAGTCATTGAAAAATTGTGTATTATAATGTTCTATCTATGTATGAATGTTTATAATCAATGTTCTCGTATCAAAGGCAGAAATTCTACGGCAAGGTATAAAAGTATAACAGCGCTATGAGAATGGACATATAGGCGCAATCACGAGTAGGTTATAGTTTGCTGGGGTACGGTTTACTCCCGTGACATTCTTCTTTATCGCGATACAAGAAATGTCAGTTCCCACTCGAAGAGCACAATTACGCGGCGGAGGTAGCCGCGCCGCCATTGAGAGAAAGATAGAGTGATATATAGTAGGGAATTAATCATTAATGATGCATATGGGAATGCCAGGATCTCACGTTTGAAAGGCTGAATGTGATCAACGATGAAAAGATGAACAAGTAAAGTCGAGCTTACCAAAGCGATGTTTCTTACTACAAATGTACATACATAGAATGGAGAGTGTATTTGAGACGCGAGGGGATAAAGTAACTCAACAACTTAATAGCTATTTCTTAATAACGGTACGGTGCTGCGAATACAATATATCGATGAAGCATCACTATTGGTACTTTCTGTTATATTCGTCCCGCCTGTCGACTTGCTGATTCAGAGGCTGTTGTGCTTTTTGGGCCGCTGCGCGAGCTTCTTCCTCCTAAAAAATAAACATACTGAATTTTTATAAATTGTTTTTATTCTCTCTAAATCTTTTGTAGCAAAAAATGAGCCAGTCTTGAAAAGAGAATAAAAATTGTTCACTGTTGAATAAGAACGGCAGAGTTTCATTCTTTCTTTGGAATAAGATTTCATTCTTTTGGAGTGAGATTCACTTCAAAAAGGAATGAAATCTCACTCCTTTTTTTTTAAATTGAGATTTCATTCCTTGGAGTAACTTTTACTCTAAAAAAAAAGAGTGAACTTTTACTCCAAAAGAATGAAATTTCACTCCTAAAGAATGAAATCTCACTCCTAAAGAATGAAAATCTGTTACTCTTGTTCAAGAGTGAATAATATTTTCATTCTTGTTTCCAAGACTGGCTCAATTTTTAGTCCCTTGGAGTGAGGTTTTACTCCTAAAGATTTAGAGAATTACTAATTGATATTATAAATTAGGTTTCGTTGGTTTATTAATTAGTTTTTCAGAAGGTTAAAAAGTCTATTTTTTTTTAAAAAACATCATCTTTTTCTTTCTCAAAAGCAACGTTAGCTTGAATAAATACATAGCTAAGCGTTAAATCTAATTTTATTTTACTTCTATCATTATTTTTTTATATAAAAACGATTTTGGAAATGACGTTGCAAATGTTTTATGACGGTAACATACGGTAACTAATGATACCAAGGTTGGAAAAGTCACCCATTACTAAAAAAAAAGTAACTCATTCTTTCTCGTAATGCATCGATGCGTTACTTTTAACTCGTTATACAAGTAACAATTGTCATTTTTTTTCTTTTTCAATAAATAACGCGTAATATTATTTCCTTTATTCACTTAAATATTTTATTTATAAAGATTTACTATTCCTATTTACAATAGATATAATATAAATTTAAACTAATGACCAACGGACTCGCGTATATGATATCGGTAAAGCTAATTATTATAATTAATTATCACGGTCTACGGTGCAGTTTTAATTACATGTAGATATCTTGGCACGGATTTGTCAATAGCTTTCTATGATGCGTAGATAAGAATGTAGTTTTCGACAAGATAAGGAAGAAAACCAGTAGCTATTACCGATGTAATGATTAACGAGAGTTGAAAGGAAATGGCATTAGGCTTTTTCCCTTGCTCTGCGCAGGTCATTCATACCATATAGCGGTCTTTAACCTTTGCATCGATATGGATCAGCATGATTTCGCAAGTATGCTCGTAACGTAGATAACTGAATGGCTTTTCGCAAACCCTGCTTGGAAACCGTGACCTATGCTAGTTGTGACGAAACAGAAGTTGTATCCATAAGATCCCGGAGAATGTTTTCCATAAAGGTGAACATGAACGCGAACAGTAGTGACAAGAAGAGAGACAAAAGAGGAGGAGGAGGAGAATAAGTAGGGACAGAAAACTGTGAATGGATTTTAACTGCAATGAAGTAGTAAAGTTTTACATATATACGATTACTCACACTATCAGTCACGTAATCTTGAATGAGTCTGCTCTTTTAACACTTTTATATCTAATAACCGTTTAATGTTCCTTTAATAGAATTTAAATTTTAATGTCAGTATATATAAAATGCTTGTTATTGGAGATTATTCATTTTAGACAATTCATTCAAATTAATACTGTTGCAATATTAACACTTTTCTAATTTTATCTGCAACAAGCACTAATCTATAATAGATTAAATTGATATTTTCGAGTAACCTCCATCGAGTAACATCCTTTCGACTAGTATTTTGCAAATAAAACCACTTTGTTAAGGCACCGTTAATTATCTAAATCAAATTATCGTTAAATACGTTAAATAGTGTGGAATTTCATAGAATTAAATAGTACAACTGCTATAAAAATATAAATCATAGAGAGAATATAATGGGGGCTGGATGGAAAAGAAAAGGTCATGAAGTATACTTACCTCTTGCTGACGAATACCCGCGTAGATGAGGTCGAGGCCTTTCTGGATCTCCTCACTAACGGGCGGTGGCGTGGGAATATGATCGCCTTGCGCGTGAAAGCCGGTCTCGTCGGCGGTATAGTGAATGGTGATCAGCTGTCCCTCGGGACTCGTGTACGAGAAGGTGCCTTGTTGCACGATCGCCTCCGCCCGGTCTTCACCTTCGCCAATAGTCTTGATGTAGCCACTTTCTTCAGCAATGATATTGTTGCCCGTTTCGTAACTGTAGGTTTCAAATCGCCCAGGGGTGTTAAATAATCGATTACGCAAAACGGACGATCCAGAAAGCCAATCGGTTCGTGTTACGTAACGTTAAAATGCGCGCTGGCAAAGTTCGCACGGATTCAAGGCATCAGGTAATATCGCAGTCTGACAGTCTGATAAATAATTGCGTCAACTTTCGGGACCGATTACGTGGATACGAACTCGCATAACCAAGATTTTAGAGAATAATGACATATATTATGTAAACATGTAGAGCGTAAGATAAAATGTTAGATCATTAGCGAAATCTTTATGAACACACGATGTAAGGGCAAGATTAAAGAAATATTTTTTGAATATCTAAAATATTATATGTGCATATGTAATATATATTATTAATATTATCTACTCGTTTAAAAAATGTTTACCAAAAATAACTGGCATTATCACTATAATAATAACTTAAGAAGCTTTTTTACTGAATACCTTTTTTCTGAATTGTGTAAACATTTTTATACATATGTAATTACCCTATCTTATAAGTTCCATCGTGTTCCTGCTGTTTATTCCAATGCAAGATTGGGATTGGCGTGGTGCTCGTAGGTCGTCTGCTGTCAGCTTGGTGTTGTTGTTCATCATCCTGCTGATAGTTGCGTCCGTGATAATTTTGATCTTGCGCCACTGCCAATCCCAGAATCATTGCTAATGCCTAAAAAATTATAAATGTTAGTTTTCTTGATTAGCGAGTGCATGATTAAGATACGTTTCAAGAAAAAAAATGCTTGTTTCAAATTGCGATTACAAAACGCATGTGTGTGTATATCATATGAGATTCGGATTACATCAATTAATTCCCTTTCTAATCGACATTCTAAGATTAGGGGTACTTTCCAACAAGAGACACAGATGACATAGTGTAACACAGTGAATCATAGTATCGTTGTTGTTTGCCAATGTTAAGCAAAGGTGAAATGATCACTATGTTACACTGCGTCTCTTGCTGGAAACCACCCCATATAAGCTCAACGGGTAAAATGATCGATGAGAATAGACGAGTGGATGAGTGTAACGCGAAAATTTCAAAGTGGATTTATCGGTTTCTCTACTACGAAATCGGGCGATGCGCTCTCAGGAGATGAGTGAAAGTGAGAAGCAAATGCCAACGCGGGTCATTTAACTCCTGACCCGCAAACTCGTACAGCTGGGCCCGTCCCATTTCATCCCAACCTATCGTGATCCCCTTCTACGTTATTCTTTGATGTCGCGTTGCTTGTCCCGTTGCGATCTTGTTCGTTTATTAATTGAATCATAGATTTATTTTTATGAGAGAGAGAGAGAGAGAGAGAGAGAGAGATGTGGAGTACCGTTTTTAAAAAAAATTCTATTTTTCATGATCGATTGGATGATTAATCGTAAAGCTTAATAAAATTTAAAAAGCGGATAAAAAGAAATAATTTTAATATGATATGCATGAGTAATATGCACAGTAGTAATATTTAAAAAAAAATGTTGCATTAAAAAAACAGTAGCGTAGTATGAATGTGTTTGAAGAAGTAACGTATTTCTAAAAAATAATTGTATGAACTCATATCAGCCTCGAGATTACGTAAAACTTCAGGACTTTAATCCCACGCAATTCTTGTTTCGTCACATCAACAGTACGTCTCACGCATATAAATTAATAAATGCAGGTTGTCGTAATGTATCAATAACAATGGTGACTTTTTAAAACTCTATAAGGATCACGTTTTTCGCTAACATGTTAAACAATTCTTCTGAATTGAATTAAACATTTTTTAATTTTTTAACTTTTGAATTTTAAATTATTAAATATATTTTACATTATAATTGGCTCGCAGCCCTTCTTTTATTTAGTGATTTATTCTGATTGAGCCACATTAAGAATTATTTTAATTTTTTAACTTCTGAATTTAGTAAATTCGATCAAGTTTGATAAACATAAATAAATGAATAAATAATAATGAAAAATGAATAAATTTCTGAAAATCATGTTTTATTATTATTCTCAATTACTATTAATTTTATTTTAGAACAGATGCATTATTTCTTTTTGAAATTACAATTAGAAAGACACAAGAAGAATTGAATAAGATATTAAAATAAGGATAAAATTATTTAATATCAATTAAATCGATTTTTACACATATTTTTTGCACACAACGCAGCAAATATATAATACAGTCGGGAACAGACAAACTTACTTTTTCAATCCTGAAGAGACAAAGTCGTATCGCGCTTAATTGACGTTTCGCTTAAAAGACAGTCTTTCGCGGTTATACTTACCACGTATTTCATCCTGACTCGAAAGATGTGTACCTCTTCAATAAAACAGGTCAACGTGAATATGCAACAGGGGTATGGTGGCAAACGCAGGGAGATAGTCGCAAACGAACGAGATCGACTGCGATCCTAAGAGAGGAAAGAAATCCCCTTTTATACTAACTCTCACTTTACCCCTACTCGAGAAGACGATGGGCTTCGAAAGATGCTTCGTATGCTTTATGGCAAAGAGCCTACATATTTGCCGGAGTAAACGCATGTGTGGGATAGTGGCTTCCTTCGTATTAAGCGTTCGTATTGAGACCTGCCTGTTATATTCCGACACCAAGAAGCGTCTTGATCCGATTATGACATTACCATATATGACCTTAGTCTTGAAACCCTATCGCTCATCTTCCGATAGCTTTTTAATTACTATTGTATTGCAAAAACCTATCGCTCTTGATTCTATTTATGATAGAATTAATTTAATCAGGTTTAAGTGAAATAATTAATCAATGAGTCTATTCATATTGCCTCATAATCTAAAATGTTACTTTATATACTTGTAGTTCTGCGAAAAAGTACTCATACGTAAACGCGTAATAATAAATTATACGCATTAATGTTTTTAATATTGTGAAACGTGAGTGGAGTGTTCTGTAAATTCAATTATTTTTTCGCGGAACATATTGCAGGTGGTTCGAAACTTTCATATCGCTTCGCAGTTACATCCCCATTTAGGTCTACGCGTAGTTTCGTAGGTTTCGTAGGTTATGGAGTTTGAGACTAACAAAACAATGAATGAAGAACACATCTAATATGCATACTTATATATGCATCAGAATGCGCGTAACAACCCACGATTAGTGGCCAGGGACTGCGCTTCCAATTAGCGCAATACGCTTGCTCTTGCGCGACCTTCGGATTATTCCTGCTTTTCTTCTTCCCATTTTTTTTAAGAAAATTAAAAAGATGCAACTCTTGCGTCTTTTAATTAATAATTACGTTTCCGCACAGAAGTTGTAAATGAAGTTATAATGATCGGCACGATGAGTGGCTGGAAATTAATAGAGCTAATAATACTGTACTTGTGGAAATGTTTTTAGTTCTAACAATTGCACATGAGTCTGTGCGAGTGACGATTCACATATCTACATATTAGAAAATAATTTATTTAATGTGTTAGAAAAGAATCAACGCATCAAGCATTTCACTTCAGCATTTAATTAATCAAGATTTTGCTACGGAGATAAAAATTAGTGAAAGTAGAGCCGCGGTTACATTAGTCACGTGCATAAATTAATAATTGGGAGAGGAAGCCATCCAATCCGAAAAATCGTATGCGTAATATAATATATTATATACATTATCCAAGTTTTACGCTACGCAACTCTTGCGAAATTAATTTCTTAATAAAATCTAGTCTATAGTAGGATTAGTGTGCCTTCCCTGTACTCTATTGTCCGAAGGCGTGTAAGGAAGACATCTCGGGATTATTACGTAAACAGATAGATATGCTAAGTACTTTCACGTAGAGTCAGCGAGGAGCCGTTGACTTCCGATGCGACATGAAATTCGCAGTCTTACCTAGAAACAAATTATGCACGTCCAATCGAACGTGTATGGGTCGATGCTATAACACTACTTTTCGCGCGTGAAACTTAATGAGTTTATCTCTCGTGTAAGATACCACTACGGATGAACCGATCATTGATTATCACAGAATGTCTCAACTGGTATAATCGTATACATAATACTTTATGCCAGTTATGTAGCGATAATCGCCGTTACACAGGTTACACTTAATAAGGTATACATACTCTGGTAAAAAAATTTCGCTGAAATTATTTCACGTTTTGGAACATTTCAGTGAAATTGCTGGAAATTTACTGAAATTTCGCTGAATGTGAATTTTTCACCTAACGTACTGAAAACTCGCTGAAATTGAACTGGAATTTCTCTGAAATCTTTCTGAAATGCTGAAATTTTGCTGAAAAGTGTTCTAAAACGTGAAATAATTTCAGCGAAATTTTTCCATCAGGGATTAAACGTACCACCTTATTGTGTAATTATTGCTTCATTGTGGCAGTAAAGAAAAAGGTTCTATACATCTCGGCTGAATGTCCTGTGATTACGATAAGCGCAGAGGCGCGATATTATATATGAAATTGCTTTAACCGTTTACTGATCTTTCGCGTGGATTAAAGCAGTATTGAAAAATCCTGGTACACAAGGACATTTTATTATCCGAACAATATACATAGTCGGAACATCACAAACGCTTGCATTCGTGTATGCTCGCGTGACTTGGGCAAAATATTCGTAAGAGGAAGATAAATACATAATATGTATATATATTAAGATTATTATCATTTCGTACACACCTTACCTACTCTCTATTCATAATGCAGGGCAAGGTTGCTGCGATGGCACTAAAATGTAATAATAATGTAATTGTACATGTCATCATATCATCCGGTATAAAAAAGATAATATTAAAAGATGAAGAATTTTTTAAAGATTTACTTCCGTAGGTATTAACAGAGGAGCAAGAAGCGGAACAAGGAGGCAGGGGGACGAGTGTTCCAGGTGGGATGTAACTGTCAAAAAAATATTGATACATAAATCACAAAATTATAAATTTACAAGATACGTAAAAATATACAGCATGAATAGTAAGATTTTAAATCGCTAAATAATCGGATAAAGAGCGAGGCTTGAACCTTAGATTGTACGTCGTATTGTCCTCCATAGGATTGACAGGTGAATAATAGGGCGCAGCCGCAGCCCATGGTTTCTCGATCTGATTCGTTGGCTCCACTGGCTGATAACTCAATTGCATCGTAGTCTCGGATTCCATCGCAACGTTGGACGGCTGGTACTTACGTATAGGCGCGTATGATTTAATAGGCAGTAGGCATTCATGATCATTCGGTATATAAGACAATCTATGAGTCGTGCAGGCTGCAATAATTATATGTTAGTAATAAAAAAACCACAAACAAAGTAGTCGAGCAACGTCTAAGATTTCTTCTTTTTTTAAACAGCGCGCTTTTTCGTCTTTGATGAAGAAATAGTACTATACTTTCTCCAAACGATAAATACGAAATTATAAAATGTCAGATACATAAATTACTGCAATTATAATATTTTACATATGATTAAACACTTACATTCCAGCGGCAAGGACGAGAAAGTGAGATTGCTCTCGGGTCGAAGCTCTGTCGGTGGCATCACACGCTTCCGAGTGTAATCGTGCTTTTGCGTAGTCTCATCTTGCATCGGTCCTCTGCCCAACAATTGTGTGTCGCACGGCGTGATAGACGTTTCCGGTTTGAAGCACCAGTTGCCTAGAAAACTCAACTGCAACGATATGAGATTAACAAAATTTCGAGTTTTCAAAAGTTCAAAAATTTTGATTTAAATTTAAATCTATTAATTAAAAAGTGGTCATGCAATTTAAATTATAAAAATTTCTGTAATTAATAGCAGTTAATAGTCTCGTCTCGAACATGGTTCGATGTTGAAACGATGAAGCCGACCAGCATTCTCAAACTTTAAGGGAATAATCACTGTTGTCTCAATTCGCTACAATATAACGTGATATAACTTGATGGAATTAATAAGGACTATCGAATCAATCTGCGAGACGATGCATCGCTTGTTGAGCAATTTAAGAAAATTATCTCGTAATCGCTGTATAATACTAAATAATAAACTCGAAAACGTAACTATCGATCCGAATTAGTGAATCATCCTCAATTCAAATTCATCGTGAAAGTACAATTCAGCATTTACTAACCCGATTGACGGTATCGTGGGAGAGTGGGCACGGAGAGAAAATCATATTGTCAGGCTGACGAACGGGATCCGGCGGTTTGTCACCGCCATATCCGAAATAACTGAGTCGGTACGTGGTGTTGTCATCAAAGCAGCAGCCGGCGTTCAGCAAGTTTTCGTTCTCATCATGACTAAAAGGTTCCGATGGCTTCTCGCCACAGTGAGGCCAATAACTCAGTTTGTAGGTTGTGCATCCATCCATCGGCGTCACTGGGCAATGATACTCTCCCTTTTGTCTCCACGGTTGCTCCTTCTAAAAAAGCAAATAATTATTTGTATTAATATTTATATGTAATAAATATAGTATTTATTAAAAAAAGAAATTTTTTTTTCTGAAGTCAATAAATTTCTAATATAATTTAGAAAATACTAGTAATACAGTAAAATATCTAAAAAAATTCTTTAAAATACTTACAATTATATTAAAAAAAAAAATACAAAATTATATATTTGAAATAAATTACGATAAATTAAAAAAGAATAATTAAACGAAATAAGTTTCAGAATTATTTTTTCTCAAAACTCACTTTTACAGGAATCTCGTTTGGCCAGTAGCTAAGTCTATATGTTGTACAACCTTCCATCGATGTATCCGATTTAACATATTTTCTAACAGGCGCATAAGATTGTATCGGAAGCAAGCAGGAGGAGTTATAGTAGCTCAAACGATATGTCGTATCATCTGTCTCAAGATATTGTTATTAATTAATTAAATAATTTTATGCATTTTCTTCCTCTTCTTCTTCCTCTTAGGTCTCTGGTCTGTGTTACACCTCTCTCATATGCTTGTGGTGCACAACGCTGATTATTCAATCGCCACAAGCATATTATATGGAACCTACAATTTTAATTTACAATTTGCCGGTTCCGAATTTTTCAAGAGGTGTTTCTGTGGGCAAGGATACTCTCGAAAAGTTGCCGGCCTTTTCCGAGAGGAGACATGAGCGTAAATATTTTGGTTCCTACCAGGATCGAACCTGGGACCCCTGACATGATAGATCAGTGCGCTGTCTGTCATGCCACGTTCGCGCTCTGATCTTTATGCATTTTGTTTTTCATAATTAAGCTTACAGTAAGTAGATATTTTTATCTAGCGACGAGAGAATTTTATATCTAGCAATGAGGATTACCAGATAAAGCAGCACATGGAGGATATAAATTATTTTCCGCCTTGATGATCTCAGGACGCGTCGTACTTTTCCATGAATAATCATGTTTGTGCGTCGTGACATCTTCCATCGGGCCTCTACCCAGCCACTGTCTATCACAGGGTGTTATTGGAGGATCTGTTTTCACGCACCAGTTGCCAAAATAGCTCATCTGGAAGAGCAATCAGACTCCAGTCAACGAGTTATTTTAAAAGTAAAATATTCATCATACTTTATGCGTCGTTTCATCAGACATTGGTGCTTCACCGCATGTTAGATTATCTTCAGGACGAATGGGTTCAACGATGGTGCCAGGCCCTTCCCAATAAGAGAGACGATACATTGTATCTTTATCCATCGGCACATTTGATTTCCAATAATACTAAAAAGGAAATTATGATATAATAAAAACAGCAACAAATGAAAAAAGGTATTTTTTATAATTAACTTTATAATTAATTTCATTGTAGTATACGTTAATCAAAAAATTATAATAACTGTTAGAATATTCTTCATCAAATTATCTTTAATCTACTTACGCGAATAGGTGCGAAAGATTTTGGTACTTCCGGCTGGACATATTTCTGTAAAAATTTTTTGTTCACTCTTTAATTTAAACAAATTAATACATGCAATGCCAACAAATAAATAAATATAAAATTAAACACAAGTAAACATTGATATATATCACTTACATAACATGTGGATTGCGGTAAACAACAGCAGCAGCAGTTGCAACATTCATCGTGACCCAGCTAAAATGTATTTATATTTCAGAAAATGCAAATATAAATCAAATACAATCTGTGTTTAATAATCCTTTCTTTTTGAGTATCATCAAAGCTTACCCGAAGTTTATTTTTTGCTTCAATAATCGATTGCTGCGGCGTTGGTTTAGATCTACGGTGACAAATTAGTTAATATTTATTTTAAAAAGACACGTATGAGATTTGAATATAAAAAATATGCTTAGTATCAAAACCAAATGTCAACAAGTTATTGCGGTGTCAGCTCACGGTTCAGAGGGACAGATCTCCATGATTCTTGAAACAATTTGTGTTGATGCTGGTATCTCACTTCGAATATTACAAAACTATAGCAGGGAAAATTTAGTTAAATGTAATTTTTAAACGTTTTAATCATAATTTTTAAACGTTTTGTGTAGCGACAAAAAAGTAAAACGGCCGAGTTGAGTGATGTTATTCATTATTACTTCGAGATATTGATATACTTTTCAATTTATAAAGAACAGATAAATTCGTTTTATTAAAATTTGTTTCTTTTTAACTTACTCGCATTTTAGACAAACAAAATTAAAATCGTTTTTAAAAAAAAATAGAAAACACATACGCCAAACACATAAATAAAATGCACAAATATTACATGTATCCTTCCTAAAATGAAAAACGTTAATTTTCACATATATATATATACACATGCAATATATATGTATATATATATATATATATAAAATAAACGGTTTAAATATGATTATTTAAAAATTAACTATTAAAAAATGGATATGAAATAAATGTATAATTAGCCAAGTGTCTCATTAATCAACAAAACTAAATTACTAACCTTGAAAAAGCTTAATAGTAAAAAATCTATTAATTTTAACAAGGAGAGGCTTAGAAGTTCCAGATAGCAAAGCGTGTCTCAGCAAAATCTCGCAAATCTGTGATTGCTTATGATGCTGACAACTTGCCGTAGATTTGTCTTCAACGATTTTGAATATACGGACATTGTAGCAACATACAGACAACAATGTGTATACGTATTGCCAGCAGTTTAACAGCAAGATAGCTACATCAATGTTATCTTGCGTTGTCGGCAATATGACAGCATTGTATAATGCTGCATATTATTATGGCAACATGATGGCAATAGTACGAATTTTGATGATGACGATTTTAAAATTGCCGGCAAATTGCTGGCAAGTTGCTACTCAATGTTATCATATCGTGAAGGCATCAAGTTGCCAACAAATGAGGACTCAGTTGCTACAATTCTGGTAACAACACATACTTAGCAATGCATACTTAGCAAACAATATGCCAGCAACAAGACAAACACGTTGCTATTTGGGGTGATTTTCATCGATTTCAATAAAACTTGGTAGGATTATAGAATGTGTTCTCCTATATAATTATTTGAACGTAAAGCGTAGACGATCAACTATTTCCGAGATATTTCAATATTAAATTTGGTAGCGGCAGTTTTCCTTTATATGTAGTTTTTATTAGGACGTTTATATGTTATGTCCAAACTCTGGTCGTTGAATTGGTTTAGAGAAGAAAAGAATGAGAAGGATGGAAATAATGGAAGGATGAATTAGAGAGATCCTTTGTCTCGCATGCATCCGCGTGGAAGAGGATGGAGCAAGTCGGACACACTTAGGTAACTTCAAAATATGGATCAACGTCCCGAAAGGACGCTATGACTCCAGAGGTGGCCTACTACGAGAATTACGGAAATTAGAAAAAAAAGGGACAAAATTATTTCTGGACCAGCCTCTGAATGAGCATCCTCATGTCTTTTCTTTGAAGGAAAGGGAAATAAACTCGAAGATTTGTAAAAAGAAGAATGGCTATTTCGAGAAAAAGGAGCGAAGTTCATGGTATGAGCAAAGAGAAACGTACAGATTCTATCAAATATATTGGATATATCGGTCGATGAATATATCGGAGATGTATAGGAAAGGAACGAACATAATGAATAATCTATCGAACTCGAAGGAAGGATGGATGGAAGTAAAGTTAACAAGAAATAATGCAGAGGCTAAAAGGGGAATTGATTAAAAGGAAATAAACAAGAAATCGAATGACCGCGGACATGTATACAGTAAACCTATGTCCGGACACTTACACACGATTTATTGTTATTAATGTCAAAATGTTGTTTCTGTGTGTGTGTGTGTGTGTGTGTTACAATATATATATATAATTTAATTGTATTTAAAAATTATTTTAAAAAGCATTTGAGATTAATAATCTCAAATATAAACAAATAAATTAAGTTTTGTGTAAATGTCTGATCACATAGGTACATGTCCGGTCACTGGGACATTTAGGTACCTTATTGAGATTGCACACATTTTTCTATTTCAGTTTTTCCTTTGATCATTTAGCAAGTTTCCTCCCGCGAGCTAATTATTATTCCATACGAGAGATTGTTATTCGGCTCGTTACTATCGCAATTTTCTATATGAAGTCTAGAACGTGACACTTTTACATACAGAATAAATAGAGGAATCATATTATGTAAAAAATCATATAATTCGATTTAAAAAAGGACTTTATTATTCATATCCTTTTTTGGTACCTAAAAAAGAAACAACGTGACTAAAATAGAAAACGTATTTTTCAGTAAATAACGTGCATTGGTGACAAGGTTACTTTTCAAAGTCACTTGACATTCTCAACTTTAACGCTTAGTTAGTTATCGTTACAATTATAAAAAATTGCAACATCATTATCAAATTGTTATTATAAAAAGTAACGGTAAAAGTAACAGCGTTATTGTATTTCCATTCTCTGAATATAAGTTACATTTTCAAATATAAAGTCAAGATCTTTTAGAATATATCTCAAATGATATTGTTAAACTATTAGATATAACATTACGTATAATAACATTATTATTTTGATAATTCACATAAAATAGAAAATATAATTTTATACTTTCGGCTATGAGCTTGCGGGTCACGGATTGCGCATCACTTAATTATAAATAATTGGTTAAAAAATTTCTCAAGAATTAAAATTTCTTTGGTTTTAGGAATTATTTAAAAATATATAACAATATATATATGTAAAAAACACATTTAGAATTTATTAATTAAATTGTACAATTGCTACCTTGCCCTGAATCATGTAAAAAACCAAATAGACAGTACGTACTTTATTAGTAAGAAATCAGCCATTGTGATTTAGTTGTATAAGAACTATGTGATTCATTAAAAAACGCTGAAACAAATAATTAAACGCGAGAATAAACCTTAACGTCTAACCTAGCCTAATTTTTTTATTTACGCGCGCACAATTTAGGTATTGTGTACTTAATTATGTGTTATTCCATTCGGAGCGATACGAAGAATTATTAGCTTTTCATTGCTTCGGTGCACAACACATATTGATACGCTACTCAAAAAGTACCAATAAAAATAACATGAGGAGAAAACTGATATAAACAACTGGACGGGTTCAAGTTAGCGTAAGACCAAATCGTTGCGTTATTTCCGGAGAATGAGTGGTTGCGACCGCGAGTAAAAGTGGTATGTCCGCTGCATCGAGATCCAGAGCGTTCATCAAGCTGTTCACATTGGCATCAGACTCTTCCATAGACATCATCATTTCCGCCAAGGCTTCGCTTCTTAACCATAATTCCCTCAGTTTAGCCTCCAAAATCGCTATGCACTAAAACAGAGCTGGGATTTAGTTGCACATTTCGACTGATTTTCAGCTTGGTTCCTGCCCCTTGATTACTTCACCAACCCGAGCACAGCCTAAATGCCGATCGACATTTAGGCTGCGCGCGAAATGTGCAACTAAATCCCAGCTCTGCTAGGACTAAAATATTAGTTTGACAGATTTACTTATTTATAAAAAATAATTTACAAAGAACAAAAGTTTAGAAAAAAGAGAGGGAGGGAGGGAGAGAGAGAGAGAGAGAGAGAGAGAGAGAGAGATTTAAATTGAATTAAGATTGACAAAAAACTCACATGGATAGGAGAGTGATATTTTCGCCATACATAGGCAAAGGATTCCAACATATTCGACACCAGACGTGACATTCCGACCGGTAGTGGAGGACTTTGCCAAGGCGCATTATTCGACAAAATTCCGACGTGCCACGTGTCCAAGTCGGCTAGTACGCAGAGTGCTTCTGCTACCGGTTGATCGATCGTTGGAAATCGAGCGCTGGCCATAACTTCTTCCCGCATACATGACCACCAGTTCTCTTCTGATTCAATTTCGGAGTTATTCTTCTCATCTTCTGATAGCTTCTTCCTTTTTCTCCTCTTCTTTTTCTTAGTTATACCTTGTAGCACCAAACCCCACGTATAACCTGTACTTAAAATATTAGTCTCGTCATTCATAGTCTTATTTCGCATGAGAGTTTTCGTAAAGCCCATTTCTCTAATTAATCCAGCTTTGACCTGCGAAATTTTCCTCGATCTGTAACAAAAAATAGTCATTATTAAATTTCATCATTTTAAATCTAAGTGAGAAAATGAGAATAAAAACAAAAATAACAAGATAACAAAATTATTTCGGTATAGAGTGATCTCCCAATGAAGTGGTGACATTAAGATAGAAGACTAATCCTATTTTGTATCTTAATTCTGTAAGTTAGATCCGTAGTTCAGACTAATTGTAATTGAAATCCAAAGATCTAGAGTTCTAAGTAAATTTTTAATTCCATTGACTTTATTACAAAAAAAATTAATAAAGATTTCATTTTAATGGATATTATACTGTACTATTTCGACTTTTAATACACTGACTGTGGCATTGGCAACTCCACGACGCTGTTGGCTTCCATCAGAGCCTCAAGGCTATTGGATCGCGACAGTCTCATGGTTCTGCTACCTTCGGAGCTTCCACACGTGCGTAATACCTCCGTCGCATTCGTCGGAGTTTCCAACACTTGCTTGCTGCTGTCATAATCTTGCGAGGCAGCGTATCCTTGACCATTGCACTTCAAACAAAAGCCTATGGACCTCGCGCCCATACTGGACGTTGCTTCCGGAGGAGGCTGCATGCTCTTCGACGATTCGGGGAAGTTTCGCTGGATGATCTTTCTCAATACACCCTCCGGAAGTTGTGCAGATGTACTAGGTAGTCTCGTAAAGGTGTAAGAACACTGACAATTGTTACTAAGACGCGATCTTAACGGTAACTTGGCGGGTTTGTCTTCCCCACCGAGGGTGAAGAAGACTTGCGATTCCTTAAATTCATCAATAAATCCACCGTTCGTGTCAAGCGATAATTCGGGTCTGCTGTAAAACATTTTCAGTGGATCCACATTATTATTCAGCTGTTGATGCAGCTCAGTCTTTCCAGTCGCAAGATTCTCTTCAGTATCGTGTACACCTAACTTCTTCTCGAAACTTCGCATAGGAAACT